TTAAAATTCATTCTTAAAAAACAAAAGACTCTAATAATATCTAAACACTCTAATATCTATTTTTTTTTAACTATTCTATTAAAAGAAAATTAAATCTAATTATAACTATTTTTTATTAAAGGGAAAATAATATCTAAAAATCTTAAAATCTGATAAATCTCAAAAAAAGAAAAGAAAATTTATTTAAACTCTAAAAAAAATTCAAAAAAACTATTAAATCCAGAAAAATCCAATTAAATGCATTCAAAATCCAGAAAAATAAGAGAAAAATCCTAAAAATGCCAGGAAGTCGATTAAACCGATTAAAGCACAAATGCACAACCGTAGCGAAACCCGGGCACCGAGATGGCCTGAAAACACAGGGAACGAGCACCAATTCTCAACAGACTTTTATTCCAACTGGCCTGAACTGCCTGAAACGCCAGGGGCTATGAACCCGATAAAATCTATCTGACTGCAGGAAAATGCCATGTATGCAATATGCGAATGCGAATGCGAAATGCGTCGAAACATAAACCAGATATGGGGCCCGGTTGGTCAAATTTTAGGGTGCAATAAGTATCACCAAAAAATTTGGTGAATTTAGAGACTTTCCATCCCCTTGGAAAGTCAGTTTGCAACATATATTCTGATAGAGAAGATGTATAATTTGGCCTTTGTAGGCTCATGTTCACACCATTTTGAGCCATTATCCTTTCGACTATGGTTACAAGGTTATTTTCTCCCAACTGATTCCCTTACCGAAATTGATGAACGACTTGGTCAGCGTCGCAGTTTTGGTTAACCGTTATTGCGGGGGATGTTTAACTTCCCTAAGCATCTCTTATTCGACTACCTGGGGCACAAATTGTTGCTCCTGCTTTACTGTGTTTTCGTCCAAGACTACGCCTTCGTGTAAAACTTTCCTAGAGACCTAGGGTTGTACTATTGGTCAAACTTGTGATGGCGGAGCAGCAAAAAAATTAATAATTTGACTCATTTGAGTTTTCAACTGTTGGTAACTATTATTCATATTTTGAATAAATAGGTTAAATATGGTGCCTATTTGTTGGGTAAGAAAATTGACCATATCATGGCTACTCTCATCCATCTTCTGTCTCATCGCCATTACAGAACTTGTAGTGAACTTTGGCATTTCTTGGGAACCAAATCCCATTCCCATCTGGGGTGGAATGGTTCGACTATGGTTACCTATTATTGAATCAGACGCCAGAATTGGAGAATATGTATTTGCAGCATTGTCAATAAATATCGAAGGATTAGTGTGTAGGTTTTCCATCATTGATGTTGGCATCCCAAAAGGTAGTTCACACCCCGTCATAGGCATTATAAAACATGTGGAAAAAGGCCTAAAATTCATCACCATAATTGTTCTAGGTGTCACTGGGTGAATATGGTTTATTGAAGGGGAAAACCATCCCTTCTTGTACATTTGATGGCACAATCGTCATTGACAATATGGTCGTCATGCTAGAAATCGAAAAGATTGGCTCAGTAGACATCGCAGTGACTGTGCCTGTCCCAGTGCTATTAGAAGGTTGTTATCCATTATTGTTTCTAGGAATAGCCATTCTCCTAATGTATTTCCTCGTAGGCTTCCTAACTTCTCTCTTAGTTATCTTACCACTCCTTAATCTCATTTAAACTCACACGATGAGAAGTTAATGAGATAAAGAACTCTAAAAATGACATTTTTTTCAAAGTAAAAAGTACAAATTCACACAAACGGGTTCCATTGGGCGTGCCAATTTATTTACTTTGAAATTTGGTAAATAAAACAAATTTCAATTCATACTTAAGGAATTAAACTCGAAAATATCCCGAAACATATTTGTGTGAATTATGACTTTTGAACAACATATTGGTACACAAATCGAAATGCAGTGTTTGAATGATAATAACTTAAATTGACCGAAATCAAAATATGAAGGATTTGAAAAAAATAAAATCACTGAAAATAACTTAAATGTAGAAAATGAATTTAATGTAAAAGACTCGAGTTATATAAACGTGGAACACATACGTACATTTCTTCACTCGTTTCTCAATAACACTGATACTTTGAGATTTTAGAATTTTGTGTACAATTGCGGACCTCTACAACATAAGCAAGCATCCACTTATATACTAGTCTAAAATATAACTGCCTACAACAATCGACTAAACACAACATGCCACATTTTTGTCCCCATGCAACCTCTGCCTTCGAAAAAATTCCACGTGTCTATGAATAACTACCTGATCTTATCCCATTCTAACTCATTCGACTAAGTAGAAATGACTAACCTAAATATTTGGAAATTTCCCTAAGTCCAAAACTCCACAAATACTCCTTAGTTTTTCACTGCATGATTCAATTGAAACTAAAATTCTCTTTCGACAAATCGAACTCATCAAACCAATTCATGGTCTTGATTGACCATTTTCGACCTCACACCTCAACATGACATGCTATTTTGTCTTACTTGTCATTAATACCTATGCCGAAAATCCATGATAACACCTTGGGATGAAGTTGTGAAGAGGAAACCTTCAAAAACCATAATATTTGCACTTCAAATTCAGATAAAGGCAACCGCATATTTATCTGGGTGAACAAACACTCATATAAAGGAATGGAACACTCCTCGAAGTTGCTACATATCCTTTTGCCCGATTCCACTTGGAGAATCGACTAGTCAGAAGGATGACCAACTTCAATGTTAGCCACATTCATAATTGCATGATCATTTAAAGCAGAAAAGGTTCTCAATAACTCAAATTCCACCAACATATACATGTTTGCATCAATCGGTTCCACTATACCATTTAGAGGTATCTCATCATCCAGGAAGATCTCAAAGGGCTTGAGCCAATTGACACCCATATATTGAGTTCCACGCGCTATATGATCCTTAATCTCGACATCACTTGAATTTCGATCATAAATAGTGTGGTAAGTCTTGATGAAATTTGTGGCATCTTCCATGTCAAAGTAGCCAATCTATCTATAGGGTAATTAAAGTGATTGAGGCTAAATCCTCTACAAGTACAGATAGATTTGGCGCAGAACTGGCTATGCGGTCATCTTTCATATCCTCGTTAGAAAAAAGACTGTTGAAGGAAGACTCGTTAGATGAAATTTCTCTATTAAGGCAACCATTAGGCAACCTCTCTAACTCAGAATTATCAAAGACAATTATAATGACTAAAATTGAATGATTGTTGACTAGCCATGGCAAAGTGAAAACTAGGTACTATAAAATAAGCTCAAGGTAAGAATGGTACCTAGAGATAGTAGAATCTGACAAAGAAGGTAGAAATTAAATGTGGAATGAAAAACTATGTTCTGAAGAAGGAAAACTCTCAAAGAAATGCTTATGAGAAGGAAGGAAGTCATTCTTGCAAAAGGAAACTGACTCTCAGGAAAGGCGAAAGCTTTTCCAAAAAGTCAAGAGACCCTTATATAGAGGAGAGCGGGCAAAGGACCAAATCAAAGTGAAATCGGAAATTACAAATCAACATCCTGATTTCACCTTGGGAATGCAAGCAAACTTAAGTGCACTCGAATTCCCTAGAGAAAAGCGCAATTCCCTAACCTGTGAAGTTAAAGCTAAACGCCCAAAAAACTGACGAGACATTTCAATGAGAAAGACATTTAACGCGCTTGTTCCCCATTACTTCGCTAACTGCTCAATGGTCTTCCCACTTTCCATTATGGTTAGACACGATAGCAAGATGTCGACCACAACTTTAAAACCCTTTTCAACTATCAAACATTCGAAGAGCCTTGGAAAAACTATTATGGGTCGGGCAAAGGTCTAACGTGGAAGCCTAAGCGTGCATGGCTCAATTGGAATTATCTGATGTATATAATCAGCACACGTACATAATAGTCAAGGTAAACTTTTCTGATCTCCATATTTCATTACTCATCTTGGACTCAATAATTGACCGTGGGCATTGGAGTGCTTGGTCCATCCCGCGCAATTGTATCAGACATCATCATTATCGCTTTCAGATTCCTAGGTCATCAATCAACACCTATTATGATTCTAGTACGGAACAAATCTAAAATCTCGTCTGATAGTCGATCATGGTTCATGTCATAATCGATTATGCCCTTCATTATAAATGAGTAGTCAATTACTAGCCTTAGATAACCGATTATGATACGTATCAAGTTAAACATTCCATATTACACCATCAAATAATTGATTATGATACTATGGTAATCGATTATGGGTCTTACGCCAATCAAACTCATTACTCCCATATATTTGGGAATTTATGACACATCAACTATATATAAGACTCGTGAGATTGTCTTCAAAGTTACATCGGTTGACTAAAAACCTTTCTAATAGTCTTATATCCATCTTTCTACTATGATTTAATTTGTCATACAATGAGTATATTTTCTTAAGAGAGTATCCACTATATAGTTACGAATGTAACTTTGAAAGTTAAGCTTCTATATTTGCACTAAAGATGTAATTATACTATCTTCTTATCTAATCTCATTGTAATATATGAAAACTAAAATCTATTCCTAGAAACAATTGCAAGCTTAACCTGGTTTAAAAACTTGATTAGTTAGTGAAATCTTAAGATGCTCTCGCTAGGGACATAACTTATGTCTAATGATTTGGATTGAACTAGTATAATCTTTGGTGTATTCTTTCCTTATTTATAATCTCTTTAAATTTTTAACATTTTATCTTTTATCTTGCTCTTCATCTTTTTCTTCTTAAATCATTTCAATAAAACTTTTTTTCTTAACACTTTAAAAACCATTTTTTTATATCTATAATTCACTGCTCTCTTTTAATCGAAGTTACTTTCATTTGTCTACTCCTAAACCATAAACTAATTCGAGCTTTTCATAACATTAAATATGTCTTCCATTTCTTTAGTCCTTTAACTTATGCTATTTTAATCATTTAAATCTCTAAAATTTGTTGGCATTTCAATATTTACTTGCTCTCAAATTTACACATAATGATCATTCTCCATAGCCATCAAAATCCAAACTGGTCATAAACATTCTCAAATTCAAATGATTCAGCCGATAACAGCATAGCTGTATGTTTCAGATAACATGATAGGATGTTCTCTGATAAGAACAATTGATTTTGATCAAAATAATCATCATGAATCTCTTTCAAGGGATCCTCTTTTATTGAAGCAAGAAGTTGTGTCCGCGGTAATTGCGATGGTGGTGCAACCTGATATTCTTGTTTACTTGGAATGTTGTTATCAAAACTAAGTAACACAGAAGAGTCATCAGAACACAAAATTGGTTCCAAATTTATGTTTGATTGAAAATAGTTTTTGCAAGTGTGATGGCCATAATATGTAGTCTTATACAATGGAGGATACTCTTGAGTTCTTTGAACATGTTTCATTGCTTCACACTGTTGATCATTCATGTGTGTGCACCTATAGTAGCTCCTGCATACATATTATATCATTTAAGTTTTAAATTTCAACCATGTAAATTGTGGATGTAGATATGGAAACTATATGAAATTGATAAACATATAATATACCTATAGTATTTGGCTTTTGTTATCTTCTTTTGTCCATACTTTCTCCATGTATAACCATCATCAATCAATATTGAGCTAGTCTTTTCCCAAGTTGCTGAAATTGACCTAAAATATCAATCAATAAGTTTGTATTCAAAATTACATGATAGCTTAATCATTGACAAAAATATATATAAATTGTTAATAGATCTAAAAGGTTAATCATATAAGTATGTGAGGTCTAGCTGTGATGTGTTCCCGATTAAAAGGAATAAGCTCTACTCGAGGGCATCAAATATTATATTTTATTCATAGATTCGTCTCTTAAGGATACAGACATACATTTCACAACGAAATGATACAGCCAAATATACTTTTTTATATTAGGGTAGGGGGGTTTTGATTATAATAAATGAAAAAAAAAAAAAAAAAACCTTTTAGCAAAATGGTAAATCAGGAAACCCTTTGAAACAATAGAAATAGTTATAGGAACATAGTAAAAGACAGTAATGATGAATCTTACTTTCTCTTGTTCGACCCTTTTGGATGTTCAGTGTTTAGGGTTTTGAGTTTCTTGTATGCTCCATCCGAAACATCTCTACCAGTTACAGCAACATGATTAGAGTCTTGATTGTTGTTCAGAAGCAAAAGAGTATTTGTGAATGATTTGAGTATCTGTCGCACAAGATCTCCTGCTATTAAGGTTGATAACGATTTCGAGTTTGACCCTTTGACTTCACTAATAATATTTGACTTATCATCGTAGGTTAGTGCTTCAAGTAATTGACCTGCCATGTCACGTCCTCTTAAAAGCTCTTGTTCCATTTCCTTTTTGCCATTTGTAGAAAGCCAAACCAGATTCTCCATTACCTTTTTGGGAGTGTAAACTAGGTCTAATATTCTGGAGATGAGAGAAACTAGAAAGAGAGACACATCCTTTTATTCAACTTGGTTCTTTCCAACTTGCAAATTTAAAATTTGTTTCATTTGGAAGTATGTTGATTCAGAAAAGTTCCTTGAACATGTTTATTTCACACTCGCCAAAGTGGTGAGCTCAGCATGCTAACATCATGTTGCTGAGAACATAATTTGATAACTGTATGTAGAAGACAATAATACCCTTTGATTCATGCGAGGATATTATTGAAGCCGCCCACGTGTTTTCTTTGTTTATTGAAATTAGATAAGGGTAGTTTAGAATATATGTATGTATGCATGTAGGGACAAATGCCAGATTGGTAATTCATTCTTAATTTTTTAGTCTTTCCATATTTGGTTATTTTGGATTGTACCTTTTAATGCCATTTTTATTTCTATGATCATTTGTTGTTGGTGGTTAGTTACATTATTAAAACCAACAACGACCAAACCTTTGCTTATATGTGTTGACTACAAAAGAAACAGAGTTTGTAGGAACTGTGTAGTTTCACTAGGCCATCTCTCTACTGTTTTTTTCGTGTGTCGTTTACAAACTTTGACACTTTGATACACCTAGCTCTTCTGTTCATGTATATAGCCCCCATTCCCGTGCAAATATTTTGATGAATAAAGTTAGTGACGGTCGTAAAAATGTGGTTTAAGGATTAGAATGTGTATTGGAGTTTGAACTAATCCTTAGACTTTATAATTGGATTTTATGGTTTTGAGGTCATAGAATTTTCTTTGGTGATAGTTGTCTCAGAGAAATTAGTCTTAGAGGATCAAGTTATCCTGACCATCTTATGGTCTTCAAGTGTTTAGTTGATCTTGTTTTAGTATACTTATCTGGCATGACAGTTTACTACAAGAAATCATTGAATTAGCTAGGGGTATGGGTTAGGGGGAAAACCCCTCACTAAAATAAAACTTTTCTAAAGAATATAGTTTTAGGCTCTAGATTGTTCTTGTGAACAACTTTTCTAAAGAATATAGTTTAGAATATCCAAGTGTCCTTGTTATAAGATAATCTACAAGGGTCGATTCCAGCTCATGATCAGGTGTACTTTTAGGCAATCTTTATACTCTTTTTTTAAATGACTTCATGAGACTTGTGTGATCTAATGTAGTGCGGATTGGGCCTTAGGCAAATGGCGTATGGTTAAGGTATGTAGTCACTAGTGTCTCAGACCGTTGTCACTGAGTAATAAGACTTGTCCTGACCTTTAGCCTCCCTTCTCTTTGCCACGTGGATGATAGCCTTAAGGGTGAGTGACTTAGGTTGAGGTATGATTTAGATCATGTTTCGCTCAAGAATCAGAAATGGATGTAGATGAAGAACCAATGATCTTGAACGGTAGTGATGATCTTCTTTACGACAGCGCGGAGTGAACATGTATGGTTAACACTCTAACGTACAAATTAGTTCAAAATTCAATATGAGTGTAGTGTAAAGTAGAGATCAGAGAATGTACCTTACTCTTTGCGTGTGAACTGATTTTATACCTTGGATTAAGTGGAGTGGATTTGAGTTGAATTGGGTATTAATCATTTGGGTCTCTAGCAGACGCAGAACAGTTTCCTCCAAGGCTTTGTCGGGCGTTGAAGGAGTCAAAAAAGCCTTAAGTGATGTTGGTCATCTTCTGGGATGTTGTGCAATATAAAATATAACTGAAACGCCTTGAATCAGTTAAAAAAGTAGTGGAGAACGAACACATAAAGTCCCACTGATAACTTTCTTTTGACACGTGTGGTGACATGACTAGTTAGGACATGTAGAGGCTTATAATGCACTTAAGTGCACTCAAGTTTTCGTGTTTCTCCAATGAAGAATCTAGTAGTTGATATCTTAACCCATTCCCTTAATGAAGAATCTAGTAGTTGATATCTTAACTCATTCCCTTAATTTATTTGGATCGCTCTTCTGTATTAATTTATAAGTAGGGGAGCTAAGCGTTTTGAACATCTTTTGCAATCCTTAACGTTAGTAAATTCCTTCGCTTCCTCTCCCTTGAGAGTATTAATTTGAACAGTTGCAACTCTTTACTCAAAATCTCACACCATAGGTACTTCCCTGAACTCAAGCTTTTTCTTCGACATTTCCTGTTTTTTAGTTAGGATGAGTGATTGTGTTGTTAGCCTAGTGAGTTATTCTGAGAGTTATACTTCTTCTATTTCGAGAATGAGAATATTCCATGATCCTCGTCTCCTTCCTATTGATTATGATCATCTAGAACCAGAGGTCGTATATCCTTATTTGATGATTCTGATTCAAAAGGGTGTTTGGGAACTCTTTAGAATAAGGGACTTCTTCATCTGATTCATTAAATGTCATTTTCCAAATGTCGACTGAGAGGTTAATAACACCAGGTCCATATGCCCCATTCCATCTTGACAGAGGATGAAATACGTTCAACGATTAATTGCGTGAAGGATTACATTCAACTTTGTCCGAGGACCGATAATTGTAAACCCAACAATGCTGATGTGAAAACTCACTTGGATCTTCAAAATTGGTGGGATGCAGTGGAACATGAATGGGTGGATTCAAAAATAGCAGGAACTCCATTTTTTCTGAGCACGGAGGCTGCCATAGATACTTTTGAAATCATGGTCGACAATCCCCTAAAATGGTCGGTTCTTCCAATGGGGCCAGAAAAGATGATATGTAATTCCTTCGACGATTTTGTGATCCCATTCTATAAGTGTTTGTTCATAAGAATAGGATTGCAGATGCATTTTCTGACTTTGAGGTAATCGTCCTGAAGCATTTAAAAGTTGGCTCCTCCTGACTCCATCCAACATCTTGGATTTAAATGAGGGAATTTCAAATGTGTATTGATTATAAGTCTCGAAAGCTTTCTCTTAGGCAGTTCTTTGATTTGTTTCATCTGAAGTGTTCTTCCCAGGATAACTTTTAAGACCAAGGGTTCATTAGTTTCCATCAACAATCCTCGATTCGAGCCCTTCACCCTGGACTAGGACGATTTCCTAAGGCATTTTTTTACTGGTAAGGCCTCTTATGTATGAGACCCATCTCACTTGTTGTTACCTTTCTTCTAGGTCTTCTAGCTTCTGTAATGCCCCAATTTTATTTATTTGTTTCCATAAGTTTATTTTGAAATGTTGTGCATTTTCATGCGTTGACATGTGTGATGTTGTGCCCTTTATGGGGGTAGTTACCTTAAAATGGTAGGAATTAAGGTGTTAGAGGTGTGAGAGTAATTGTGTAGAGATGGGGGTGTAGAGAGACTAGTTAATTGATTAATTGTTTTTAAGTAATTAGTTAATTATGCTATACAGTAAAATATATTAATTCATTTAAATAATTATTTAGGTTTAATATATTTTTATTAAACTATAATTTAAAAGGTTAGATTATTATTATTTGAATTATTGAATTATTAGATAATAATAATAGTAGGGAAATGAAAGAAAATAGAAAGAAAAAAAAGGGGGGGGGGGGAGGAAGAAGAGAAACAGCTTGTACGTGAATTAGAGGAAGAGAAGAAGAAAGAGGGAGAAAACCTAAGGTTGAAGAAGAAGAAGAAGAAGAAGAAGAAGAAGAAGAAGAAGAAGAAGAAGAAGAAGAAGAAGAAGAAGAAGAGGAACCACCATTTGTAAAGGTTTAGAAAGCTCAATTACAAGGTAAGGTTGGGGTTCTAATTCTCTAAGGGATAGTATGATGAATAGTGGCTAAGGGTTTAGTCTTTTGCATTGTTGTTGTTGTGTTTTTCCTATGCTATTAACCTTAATCTCTCCTTGTTGATAAATTGTGTGTTTTTCAATAATGCTATGAATGTTGTGAAAGAATTGATGAAAAATATGTGTTTAATCCCCTTGAACTATGCTCTATATGTTATGTTGTGTTTTGGAGTTGTTGGAGGTCAAAACATGGGGTTTGTGGTCTGTTGGAAGGCTGAAAAACAAGAGAGGTCGCACAAAATCGTGCAAAAAAATGGAATTCTAGGCTCTACTACGGGTCGTAGTAGCTGCTACCGGTGCCCGTAGTAGCCCTTTGGACTGGGGTGCCAGAAACAAAGAAAAAATGGAATTATGGGCTAGGAGTGCTTCTGGCCGTAGCCACTACTACGAGCGGCCATAGCAGCTCCCTAGTTTTGTATAGTGAAATCGTTTTGGCCATAACTTTGTAACCGTAAGTCCAAATTGAGTTTCGTTCGAAGTGTTGGAAAGCTAGTGTGAATTACTATCAAATGAAATTACTTCCAGAGGGTGATTATGATAATTAGTTGATGCTTTTGATATTTTGAAAGAAATGTTAAACTTTAAACTTGTTTATCTTTCAACAATTTTTGTTATATCTTTTTAACCGTGTATCCAATTGACAAGATGTTTAAAGTGTTAGAAAGATAACGCTAAAAGCTATAATATAGTAGTAATAGATTAAATGTTTATGTATTATTTATATTCCTACTGTATTAATGAAGTGTTAGTTTATATATTCGGATAATGAATCGTTGTATTATTGTGCTAATATTATGTGATAATGATGTTGCTATGTTGATACTATTATGATGATGTTATTGAAATGTTGAGTTGACGAAGTTTGATGTTGTTATTATGGTGTGATGTTGACGACGTTGCTAAGATGTTGATGTTGGTAATGTTGCTATGTGATATAATGTATTACTTCAAATGTGATTATTTTGAGTTGTTGTGATTGCATAAAAGATATATATGTTGTATGAACTATATTTTATGCTTGTTGGCCAATTTGGGTGGTGTACAGTAACCATGGTGTTGGATTATTGTGCACGATGATGTTATCATTATGGTATGCATAAATAGTCGCATTGCATACTTTTGTGCACAATGGTCCGTTGTTGGTGAATCTAAGATCCCATTGTGTGGATTGGGCCAATAGCTGATTCATGAAGTGATGGGTCAGTGAGTAGTTTTGATTCTAGGAGGTGGGAATCAGAATGGTGAAC